TGAATTCATTTCTATCACAAGACAGAGCTTTACCACACTCCTGTAACTCATGGGAAGCTGAGGCAGGAGGATCACCCAAAATTTTGAAGCCAGCCTAAACTGCATAGTGATACCGGTCTCAAAAAAAAAAAAGCCAGGTATGGTGTTGCATGCCTATAATCCCAGCACTCAGGAGGCTGAGGCAGGAAGATCGCTGCAAGCTCAAAGCCAGCCTAGGCTACTTACTGGGTTCAAGGCCATTGTGAACTGCATAGTGAGACCCTGTCCATATATATATGGCAGCTTGTACTGTGCTGATCAGTGTGCTTCTGTGAGTGTTAGCACATAGAAAGAATGTGTGAAAGTGGCCAGTTCCTCTTGGTGGCATCCGTGCTCCTGCTGTGAGGCTTTGCCAGCCTTCTCAGTATCAAGTCACTGTTTCCTGGGTTCCTTTCCAGGGGGTTGGCTCGAGTCTTCTCAGCTGCTGGTGTGCCACATTGTGATCAAGATTTGAAGCCAAGTAGTAGAGGCTGGAGTTTTGTATAGCTTAGTGGTAGCATGCAAAAAACCAAAGCAAAAGATACTGCATTTTTTAAAAATTTAGAGTGGGAATTTTCCCAGGTGAATTATATTTAGATTCTGCTTCTTAACTGAATTAAGAATGAGTGGTGTATGAAAAAGTCCAGTGGCCAGAAATTTAAAATTAACAAGTAATATTAAATGAAATTAAACACTCCAATATTAGAGAATTTAGCATAATTGCATTATCTTAAAAATTCAAGCATTACTTTTTTTCAAGTTCATAAGTTGCAAGCTTTTGATGTCATGTGCCCGTACCAATCACAGTATTTGCTGAATGCATGTAAATGTCTTAATTTTTCAAAGTATATTTATGGTATGCATTCTAATTGAGAAGGAAGTTTAGCAGAGAAAAGGCAGTGATTTTAAGGTGTGAGTCTTTGTCCTGGGAGTTTGGGTGGGGAAATGCCTGAGGCAGACATTCACACGGGCCTCAGAATACTGCTGAGACCTGAGGGACCAACCTCTGTTTCACAGGATCACGTTCTCATTGAACTCACCCAAGCCGGGCTGAAAGGCTCCACAGAGGGAAGTGAGAGCTATGAAGAAGATCCTTACTTGGTAGTTAACCCTAACTACTTGCTTGAAGATTGAGATATTGAAAGTAACTGACAAAGAGTTAATGAGTTGGGAGAAACAACCCGGAGCCTGGAGTCTGGATGTGGCTCTGCCAGAGGGAAGAGTATGTTCGTTTTGTTTTTAATTACTATTTCTTTTATTCATCAAAATAAAGTAACTTGTTCTGAAGTCTCTTGGATTTGTTTTTGTTCTACTCTGATTATTGCATCTGTGGGGTGGGGTGGATTGTTTTTGAGACAGGGTCTCACTGTGTAGATCAGGGTGGCCTTGAACTCACTATGTAGCTCAGGCTGGCCTCAAACTCTGTGATCCTCCGCCCCAGCCTCCCCAGTGCTAAGATTACAGGTGTGCACCACCACACACCCAGCTGTATCCTTCCACTCGTAAGTGAGTCCCTCTTTGGTTAATCTGGTATGTAAAGACGGAGGTATGGCGTAAGGGATTTAGAATTAGTTTCCTGTGATAAAGAATCAGAATTAAAATGAAAGCTAGAGGACTTGGAGGCAACTTTGCAGCTGAATTTCAGTGTCTTTTTCAAGGTAGTTTATGCAAAGAAGTTTCTTGTACTTTTTTGTGACTTTTACTTCTGTGTCTTAAGTAATTGGTCAGAATTGTTTAAATTAGGAAAAATACTATTTTTTATGTCACAAGCTGTCTGCAGATTTTATGACTTTCTAGGAAAAAAGGTTACTGTTTTTTATACTAACAGTTCTGAGACTTAGCTGCCGTCAGTGTATGCTCCTGATGTCCTACTGTTGCGGCTTTAACAACAGACTGCAGGGGGTCTGCATGGCCGTTAGAGAAATTGTTCCTATGTCCTTGAGCTCCCGAGTAGTGGTTTAAGCCAAGGACAGTGTTTCTATAATCCCAGCTCCTCAGGAGGCTCAGGGAAGCGGGAGTTGGAGAGCAGCTGGGAAAGGTAACAAGAAAAGAAAACAAATAACTGGCTTCTTCTCTGGCTGGGCCTGGGGGAAGAGGGCTGGGAATGGAGAGAGGAAATACAGAGATGCAGGTGTATGGCCTCGTGTAAAGTGTATGTGTAACAGAGGCCTTGGCTGTGATGAGTCCTCAAGGTACAGGAGCTGAGAGTCCCGGCATACAGATAAAAGTATCTAATGGAAGCCAGGCCAGATGTTACAGTGAAAACCCCGGGGACAGCGAGAAACCCTCTCCCCTCCCCTTAAGAAGAGTTTTTGCCACACTGACTCTGACTTACGCACTATGAGGTGGAGAGTCCTTGGAAGAAAACAGTTTATTTGAGTGGAACTTAAATGTTAATTTGACCAAATATTCACCCAAAAGCAAAAGGTAAGCCCGGGAAAAGCGCCTTTTTGGTGAATTCATCCCTTTCCCCATCCTGCCATTACCGAGAGCAAGGTCCTCCAGAAGGAGGTGAGATCAGTACTGCCGGCGTCGGCTTTGCACGTCTGAGTGTGTGTACAGGACCTCGCATCCACACCTCTGCCTTCCTGTGGTGCTCGCCAGGGGGTTGAAGTGGTGAATGGGTAATAGAACATGTAGTACAACGAGAAACAGCAAAGTTAGGCCAGGCATGCTGGTGCGCACCTGTAGTCCCAGCACTTGCGGGGCTGAGGCAGTAGGCTTGCCATGAGTTTGAGGCCTGCCTGGGCTACATATCAAGACTTGTCTCAACCAAAAAGAAATGGGGAGAAGTTGTGTGAGCCACTCCCTTCCCTCCGTTTCAGCTACAAACACAGTGCTGCCCTAGCGATTGTTCATGTTTAAGCTTTGGAGGTCTTGATGCCGAAGGCAGCAGATTACTAGCACCAGTGAGAGCCAGTGGGAGGTGCCTAGGATCAGAAGTGTCTGAGCCTTCAGGTACTGGGAGTTGAGTGCCTTTTTTCCCTCCACTCTTCTGCCAGTTGTCAGTTCCTGCTGCTACCCTCATGATCTTCAATAAATGTAGCCACTTCCTGGGCGTGGTGCTGCTCACCTGTAATCCCCACTCCCAGGAGGCTGAGGTAGGAGGATCACTGTGAGTTTGAGGCTAGTCTAAGCTATGAAGTGAGTTTGTCTCAAAAAAAAAAAAAGTACTTAACTATGTACTATGAGGTGTACTCTTGGCAATTCTTGTCCTATACGAGAACCTAGACTGTTTTTGGCCCACTCAATTGTAACGTGAGATTTCATGAAGAGAATCAGACATAGTGTGCAGATAGTATTCCTGTAGAAAGTTGCAGTTATTGGGCTGCCACATAATATATGCAGTCACAATTCAGAATCGGTTAATGATATAAAAGATTTTTTAAAAAAAATTTTAAAAAGATTTAAAAATAGATATATAAGGTTGAACAAGGGATGTGTTTGGAAACTGGCACCAGATGGTCTATAGTGGAAGGCATTAAAAACCAAATTAAAAGATGGAAAAAAATCTTATTTTAGGCAGTACTAGGTTTTGAACCCAGGACCTTTGCATTGATTTACATCCCCAACCTGCACCCCTCTTTTTTTATGTATGTGAGGGTCTCATTAAGTTGCCCAAGCTGGGGTGGATCTTGTGGTTCTCTTGTCTCAGCCTCCCAGAGTGCCGGAATTCTAGGCATGCCCCCCCCACTAGCTGGGGAATGTGTTTTTCTGTATGTTTTAATACTTGATATACAAACTTGGGAGTTTTCATAGGAATAATAAAATAATGAGAAATGGCATAAAAAAAATTGTTTTTTAATAACCACTGGGCAGTATGGCAGGTGGCTGCGGACCAGCTACTCAGGAGACTGAAGCAGAAGGATCACTTGAACCCAGGAGTTGAAAGTCAGCTTGAGGAACACAGAAAGACTCCATGTCAGAAAAACGGCATGAAGAATTTCACCTCTAAACAGAAAAATGAGAAAAGGAAAGAAAACCCTAGGAGGTATTTGAATTGTTCAGGCCGGGCATGGTGGCGCATACCTGTAATCCCAGCACGCAGAGGCTGAGGCTGGAAGATTGTGAACTGAAGACCAGCCCGGGCTGTGTAGTTCAAGCCCAACCTGAGCTACATAGGGAGACCAACAAAAAAACCTGAGGAACAATATATACACATTGCATGATCTATAAATACCTTAAATGCTATGCATGTACTTGTTTGCATTCCTATACAAGTATCACTGAGTTGCATTGTTCTAAACATGTTACATTTAACACCCACAACCTGTCCCTCATTTTACAGGTGAAGAACTAGGCACAGAGAAGTTGTTTTTGCCATTTCAACCCTGGCATTATGACTGCTAGATAACCACTAGGTTTTGTGGAGAAAGAAAAGTGGAAAAATGAACATTTTTGGAAGTGTTTATCTGAGAAAAGGAAAGGTAATGGAGGAATTTGCAAGATTTTCACAGATGTTTCTATATTGTTTGTGTTTATCTGTGTGTTCATCATTCACTTTTTTTTTTTTTTTTTTTTTTGAGGCAGGGTCTCACTATGCAGTTTAGACTGGCTTTAAATTCACTGTAGCCCAGGCTGGCCTCAAACTCGCATTGATCCTCCTGCCTCAGCCTCCCAAGTCCTGGATTACAGGCATGTGCCACCATGCACAGCTTATTCATTCACGTATTTTCAAAGGAGGAAAAGGTCAATGAAGGACTCATTTTGCTTTATTATATCAAGATAGTTGAAAGTACTGAGACAAGTGGAAATTTTTTTTCAGATACTTTCCAAGTTCCTCCTCTGGGTTCAAGCTTTTGGTTGTGTTATCTCTTACAGCCTTTATATTTTTAAATATTACATCAGTGAGCCATGTAGTGATTACAAATCATAGATAACCCAGTTAAACATTGTATTAATAATGGCTTAGTATTTTACAACCTCAGCTGTAGTTATAAAGTCAGGATTCCTTCCAGCTAGCTCCTGAGAGCTCCTTGAAAATGGAGCCATCTTGGACAGCGGTCCTGATCCTTCTCCTGAGTGTTTCATGCGGGGGGTCAGACTGGGAATCAGATAGAAATTTCCTTTCAGCGGCTGGCCCTCTAACTAATCACTTCCTGCACAACCTGAGCTACCTCCGGGGAAACCAGAGTTCTCATTTTGCAGCTGGGAACAAGGAGGTGTATACCTGCCGCCAGCCACTGCCCTCTTTCCTGCCGGAGTACTTCCGGAGTCTCCACGCCAGTAAGGTCACCCATTATAAAGTGTTCCTGTCATGGGCACAGCTGCTCCCTGCAGGACGCTCCAGGAACCCCGACGGGGCGATGCTGCAGTGCTACAGGCAGCTCCTGGAGGCCCTCAGGACCGCGCAGCTTGAGCCCATGGTCGTCCTGCACCACCAGACTCTGCCCCTGAGCGCTCTCCAGAGAAGCGAAGTCTTCGTTGACCTCTTCGCTGACTATGCCACCTTCGCCTTCCAGTCCTTTGGGGACCTGGTTGGGATCTGGTTCACCTTTAGTGACTTGGAGGAGGTGATAATGGGGCTTCCCCACAAGGAATCAAGAGCTTCACGTCTCCAAACCCTCACTGATGCCCACCGAAGAGTCTACGAGATTTACCATGCAAAATACGCTTCTCAGGGTAAGTGCCACTGCCCCTATGGCTGACCCACTGCCAGCCTTGATCACCACCTGCCCATCTCTAAGGCGGGACGTGGCATTTCTTCCTACTCTTAGCTGTGCAGTAATGAGAACCCAATGTTGTCTTCCCAGTGAAGGCAGGAAGGGGTGCCCCAGACTGCACAATATCCAGGGCATTATTTCCTTTCAGAAGTACATTTTAACCCCCCTGCCCAGTCTTCAGTCTGCAGCCCCTGAAGGACTGTCCTTCCCATGGAGCCCTGCATCCCCCAAGGCTTCAAGGTATCTCATGTCTCTCCCCGACCTCCATTGTCTTAAGAAGACCAATTTTACATTCTGATTGGAGCTTACATTCCATCAGGGGAGACGGATAAGTACAAGATAAAATAATGTCATACA